TTCTTTCTAAACATAATGGATGCACCAAAACTTATTGGATCCAGAGGAGCGAATAAACGGCGTATAGAGCAGCTAACCGGATGCAGCATCCTGGTAAGGTGTTTTACGAGCTAAGTATTTCAATTAAAGACACAATCATAATTTTTTTTTGATAGACACCAATCGACGAAATTATGGCAAATGCCCATAATAATCAAAATTTAACTTTATTTTTATTTTTTTGAATTTTGTAATCCCTCTCAAATATACCTAAGCTGTAAAAATCAAACCCAATTACTCGTATATGAAAAGCGTTTTGCGAGATGCTTACTTTCTTGAACTGCGGCATTTATCAAAGTGATACCTGTTCAACCGTTAAACAAGTAAAAGAAATCACTCTAGCTTCATACGGAAAAGAAAGAGTACGGAGAGTTCCCAGTTGAAGTCTTTGCTTCTTCCTCTAAACGCTGTGAAACAGCACGTCGGCATATCTTATGCTTCCTTGCTAGTGGTCAGGCCACCGTTGATGAAGTGGCTGCTAAATTAGCAGGGGTAAAAAACAAAGAGGTTTGTCCTCATAATATCGCTCTTTCACTTGTAACGGAAGCTCAACATCGCCTAGGTTCGCGCTCGTCCGAAGATATATCTTGACATTAGCCCAAAGAAGCTACAAAAGAAACATAACGATTGAGGTTTGTCTCTTTTTTTGCACCTATTGTTTTCAAGTCTCATCTGTGTTTGTTTAAAATCTGTTATCTTGTTGCATTATTTTAACTAGCTTCCTGTTCCATCTGAGCGGCATGACTGTATTTTTTGTTGTATCTTTGTATTTGTGTTAGTTTTATTGCGCCGTGTTCTTCACCTTACTGTGATCTTCCCTTTTGATTTCATGTACGTTCCTTATGTAGTTTCTAGCCTGCGAATAGAATTGAATCTTATGTTCCGTGTTGGAAAGTCTTTTCTGTGAATGTTGATGTTAATGTGATAAATTTTATCAGTAATCATGCTAAGTGGGATTAATAAATCTGCTGTGATAAAATTATCTCCTTCGTTATTAGAAACCTACAATTAAAGTCAAAATCTCGTTTATCTGTATCTAACTATAAGAAATATAAGACTACACATTGATTTGATCACTAGAAAGTTTCGTTAAATTAAGAAAAAGGCAATATTTCAATGTTACCGTCCAACTCCATTCACTTGCAGTGTTTCATTACTTTCGTGAAAAGTTCACATATACTGCTCCAGTGACAAACGAGAGCTATTATCATGAAGCAAAAGCACTCTATTTCAAGCTTGGAATTAGCATAGAATTCTATGCTAACTGCTCACTACAAATTATTGATGAATAGTTCAAATGGTATCAATCCTATCAATTACGAAAAAGGAAAATAGGAATTTCTCAAGAACTGAAATTTCTCATATCACAATAGAGATCGAACTAACGTCAATAAAAATGTTAGCCCTACTTGTTATAGCAGCCGG